CTCCTACTTCTGCCTCCTGAGTGCTGAGATTAAAGGTACGGCCACCATGTCCAGCCTCATTCTTTATATTACTGAATACCATACCATTGTCTGGTTACACCACACTTTATTTACCTACTGAAGGATATTTTGATTATATCCAGGCTTGGCAGCTATGAATAAAACTACTGTAAATACCGATGGCTAACAGGTTTTGTATGAACATAATTTTTAATTCAGTTAGTCAAATACCAAAGATCATGAATGCAGGATCATACAGTAAGAGTATATTTCCTTTTGTAAGAAACTTAAATTTTCTTCCAAGTCTACCATTTTGCATTCCCAATAATAATGGAGGAGACTAATCTTGCTCCTTGTCCTTGTCAGCACTTAATTTAGTCAGTGTTTTGGACTGTGACCTCTAATAGTAGTAGTTTTAATTTGCAGTTGATTAATGACATATGACATTGCATATCATATGTACTTATTTGACATCTGTCTATCTTCTTTGATAAGGTTCTATTCTGCCTGTTTTGGTTCATTTTTAAATTGTTCTTTTATTAACTTTTTTGTGTTTTTACAATGTGTTTTATATAAATATTTCTCTCAGTTTAAAACCTGCTTTTCATTCCTTTGACATTTTATTTTTCAGAGCAAACATTTTTAATCTGAAATTATTATTAGTTACTTCAGCTTCCTTTTGATTGCTGTTAGCATGGTTTACTTTTATCTACCCCCTTTCCTTTTATATATGTCTTTTTATTTAAAGTGGGTTTTTTTGCAGGTGGTACAGAGTTGAGTTTTTTTCCCCTTTTTTATTTGTTATTTTACAGGAGCGGTGTGGATGTAGATACACATGTACCACAATACAGATGGAGAGGTCACAGGACAACTTTTGAAGTTTGCTCCTTCCATTAGGCAGAGTCTCTCATTGTTTCTGCCACCCTGTATACTCCTGGTTAACTGCCAATAAATAAGCTTAAGTTTCCAGAGAGTTCTACTGTCTCCATTTCCCATCCATCTTCCTGTGGGAGTTCTGGGATTATAGATGCACACCACTGGATCTAACTTTTTGTTGGTTCTGGGACTCCCAATTCGATCATCAAGGATCACACAATAGGCACTTTTGGCCTTCAGGTGCTCGTGTTCATATTGTGTGTGTTGAGGTCAGAACAGCCTTCAGGGGTTGAATCTGTCTTTCACCATGGCTTCTAGGATTAAACTCATGTCATCAGAGTTGTTGGCAAGCACTGTTACCTGCCAAGCCTCTCCCAGGTCCAAGAACATTTTTAAAACTTCATCCAATTTCCTTTTTTGTTGCCCTTTATTAACCAAAGCTACATTCCTCTTGCTATTGTTTGTGGTGTGTGCCTGTTTGCATGTGTGTATAAGTGGCCATGCATATGTGTATGCATGAATGAAGAAGCCTAAAGTTAAATTTAGGTAGCTTGCTCCTCCTCTTCTTCTTCTTCTTCTTCTTCTTCTTCTTCTTCTTCTTCTTCTTCTTCTTCTTCTTTTTTGAGACTGTCTTTCAGTTGAACCAGATCTCACTGTTTCAGCTAGTTTTAGCTTCACCTTGCCCCAGGAGTCTGTCTCATCCTCCCAACTGCCACATCTGCTAGATTTTTACATAGATCCTCATTCTTAGTGGGGAAAATGCTATATCCACTGAGCTATAAAAGGACAAAGAAATAGACAGGCACGGTGGCACACACCTTTAATCCCAGCACTCGGGAGGCAGAAGCAGGCAGATCTCTGTGAGTTCGAGGCCAGCCTGGTCTACAAGAGCTAGTTCCAGGGCAGACTCTAAAACTACAACGAAGCCCTGTTTCGAAAAACCAAAAAAAAAAATAAATAAATAAAATAAAATAAAAGAAATCTTAAATTAGTTCTTAGCTAAGTGAGTAGTTAGTATAGAGAGAGTTTTTAGGTTTCCAAAGCTAAGATACAGACTTAGTTCAAAGCATAAACCTCGAAATAATAGGAGTTTTTAGGACTATAGCCAGATTCGGGTAGGTCCCTCTGCCAGGAAGTATCTTACGTGTTATTTATGTAAACTGCAGCAAAGAAGCAAATTCGTGTATTTGCTTTGCCTTTGTACACAATTCCTGCTCCTTCCAGAGTAGCATTCATTAAATTTCTTAAATGCCTTGCATGGGATTTTAAAGCTCACTGTGACCTCTGTACTGGTCCATTATCAGGCACAGATGATGCACTTGAAGGGCTTTTGGCATCCAGTGACTTAGTAGCCGTGACTCACTTTGAATCACCCCTCCCTGATGGACTAGATGAGAGCTCGTTCCCATGGGACCCGAGCATGTTCTTGAGAATCATTTTATTTTCCAACTTACTGAACTACTTTAGAGCCTCTGGATTTCACTGGGCTTTTCTTCATTTCCTTCTTTTGTTGATCTTGGCCCCTTTATCTTCCACCCACTTTATTACTCATTTCTGAGGGACCTTACTGCTCAGTAACACTAAGAAAATGTATCTGAAGCCATATGGGTTGAGTAATACAAACTTAAGAGTGTGGGGGGAAAAGAAGAAATGTGTGTTCTCTGAACTTCCTTTGTTTATGTGCTCTGTTTATATGTTGTTAAGGTTGTGTTATCCAGCTGTCTCTCTACATTTCAAAAAATGACTAAAGATATCTGGTGAACACTCTTAAGAGGGCCATGTTGACATAGTGAACGAAAAAAACACTTCATTTGTTCCCTACCAAATAATGTCTCTCCTTTTGAGATGAGGGAGCAATGCCAAAAGCTTCAGATGCCCAGTTTCAAGGTTCTTGAGAGGCCAGTGACTTCTAAGGACACTTATAGGAATAAATCAACCAAGTCCTTGTTAGGTTGGAGGCCATGTGACTGTTTCTTCAGTACAGTCCGTGGTATCTATCTTGTTGTGGGGAAGGAATCAGGTACATTGGCGTTAGTAATCCCGAAAGCCCATGCTTTCATCTGGTCTTATATAATATGAATAAGTACATTTGAGTTAGAATCACTCTAGAAAACAAATGGAATTCTATAGTATTTGTCAGAGCCATTCTACTGTAAGTACCTTGTCTTGAAGAAACTGAAAATGGTTCTTAGGCCTTCCTGCACATCACATGAATGAATGCCTTCCTCAGCCTTCTAGACTCTGTATGCCATAATTCATAAGATAAATGCAGAGAAGCTTTTTTGTCACATTCAACTATTTATGGATCTTAGTCTCCTAAATAATAAATTTAGAAGTGAAATTAAGTAAGAGCAAGAAATAAAGCATCAGTTTTAGTATTTGGGAAGTAAACTGCTCCACTGAACATTAAGAATGCTAGTCGGTGTCCCCTGCAGTTTCTGCCTATTTCCCCCAGTGGGATGAACACCGACTCACTATGGCTGCTGTGGTCGCCTTTAATCGCCCCTCACTAGAGCCCCTTAACAGCAGCACTGAGAGGACTGCCAAGGGCCTCCTCAGTGAATTCGCATCATTTACTTCTCAATTCGCCCACTGATTGAGGCCTTCTCTCTTGAGTGCTTCGCAGTTCCACTTAAGTGGCTGATGTTTGGGGTCACTATTGAATGTTTTGTGTGAATATCACTTTCATGATGAATTGGCTGCTGCTGCTTTTAGCTGTATGGGGTGAAGGCCTTGGTGGTAAACCTTGAAAGGAAAAAATCCTTCTCTGTAGAGATATGCTAAATGAAATTACTCTCTTTATCACTTTGTCCTTTTATCCTTGCAGTCCGATCACCTCAGGTTCCTGTGATTTATTTGTTTTCTTCAATTAAGCGGAGCTGTTTCCTGCACCAGGTGCACGCTATTTATGTTGTGGGTTACGACAGTGAAGTGCTGCACGGCTCTGACCTGGAAGTGTGGTTTCTTTGACTCAGAACCACATCAGTATGCCTTCCATCCTCTACTTCCTTTGCACTATTTCCTTTTTTAAGGGCTTGGTTTGTCACCATTTGATCCAAGCATGATTCATGTGATTCATGATTCAAGAGCTGGTAATGTTGTAACAACAATACTGTATATATAGCAATACCCAGAACACTTGCTGTCTTAGCCTTTCTCTGTGAAGTACGCTCAGCTCAATCCCTCTCAACAACTTCCGAAGTTAAATCAGTACCTTCATCTGTCTGCTGCTGAAATGTTAGCTAGAAGTGGTTAATCAAAATATCTTGCTCAAGGTTTTCGGTGATTGTGGGTCACACCACCTAAAAATCTCCACAAAACAAAGACTTGTGAAGGACTGAGGAGATGGTGAAGCTGGTAAAAGTACCTGCTGTGCAGGCTTCACAGTGGACCCACAGTGGAAGGAGAGCCTCTGGCCTCTACGTGCAAACTGTCTCACATGTGTCGCGCACACAATAACAATAAACAAAAAGTTGCTTTACTTTCTTAAAGAACACTTTGGAGGATGAATAAAAAGTTTTCCAAAGCATGTCCTGCTTGTTAAAACTGGACTTGTTTTTATTTGTGTCTGTGTGTGGTGTATGTATGTGTGGGGTATACACATGTATGTGCTTGTACACATCCATGCATGCATGCAGAGACCAGAGAAGACCATCAGATGTCCTATTCTATCATTTCCCTACATAATCCCTTAAGACAGGGCTTCTCCCTGAACCTGGAACTCACTATTTCAGCTAGTCCGGCTGACCAGTAAGCCCCATGACTCTCCTGCTTGCCCCCTCTCCCAGCACTGGGTTTGTAGGCACTCTGCAGGGCCGTACCTAACCGTATGTGAGCATTGAGGATTAAACTCAGTCCTCTTGCTTGCACACCTGCCAGTCTTACTTACCCACTAAGCCCTCAACTTGTTTTTAAGTCTGGTTAGTTGATAAAGACTGTGGTTAAAAGCCCATTAACCACAGAGTTTAAATTGATGTGTCCAAGTCAAGAAAACAAACATTTAGGTCAGTTTCTATTCTGTTGCTGATATACTGAAGCTAAGAAAGGCAGGTCTTTAAATTAGTGGAACTTGGACCAGAAGTAATTAAGCCATTAATTTTTTTATGATTATCTCTTCCTCTCAGGGAGATGGAAAGCTTGATGACTAGCTCTACCCTGCCGCCCCTCTTTGCAGATGAAGACGGCTCCAAGGAGAGTAATGATCTGGCTGCATCTGGGTAAGCAGCTGCTTTGGAACATTGGACTTCTGCAGAGGCTTCAAAACACAGTTTCTGACAAAGTATGAGGTGCTAACGAGGCAGTTTTATACCATAAGAGTAGAAGATGCATTTGTTGGGCCTTTCAAAGAGAGCCATTGTAACCCGCTTTGTAATATGATTTCAGCCTTCTGCCAGTGCTCTGAGCCTGGTGGACCTGGTACAGGGAATACTCTAAAATTCAAATGTATTTTCTTTGTAAGCTGCCGCAGTTATTAAATTTTTTCCCCAGAGATTAGACTTGTGTGTGGTTTGTACATGCATGTGGGATATGCACTAGTTTTTTGTCTAGGGAGTTAACTAGCAAGCCCCAGTGCAGCCTCTGCTTCCTTCAGTGCTGGGGTTGCAGGTATGCACAGGGCTATTACCAGTGTTTGCATGGGTGCTGGGTTCCAAACTCTGCCTCAAGCACTCTTTCCACTGAGCCCTCCCTTCAGCCCAACTTCTAGCTTTTTAATATGGTTCTTTGTTCATGGTGCATAGAAACTGGGGCAGGATAGGTGGCTCAGTGCTCAAGAACACTGGCTCTTCTTCCAGAACCCCTAGATTCAGTTCCCAGCACCCACATTCCTAGCTCAACAACCTTCTGCAACTCCAGTTCCAGGGGATCTGATGCCTCAGAGGGCCTCGTATGCATAAGATACAGAGGCATACACACAGGCACAACCACCCATACACATAAAAATAAGTAAGTTTTTAATTAAAAAAAAAAAAGATGTTTTGACGCTTTAACCAACTTCTTGTTTCTTGGTGTAGAAGATTCTTCTTTCTATGTGATTCTTTCATTGATCAAAGAAGGAAGGTTCCTTGGCCTTTTGATAGGGCAGAACTTAGATAGGTGGGGAAAACAGAACTGGATGCTGGGAGGAAGAAGGCAGGCAGGGAGAGCCGCCATGAAGTCGCCAGAGTCAGATATGCTGAATCTTTCCCAGTAAGCCACGACCTCATGGTTCTACACAGATTATTAGAAATGGGTTGAATCAAAATGTAAGAATTAGCCAAAAAGAGGCTAGATATAATGGACCAGGCAGTAATCTAATTAATACAATCTCCGTGTGGTTATTTCGGGTATAAGCTAGCCAGGCGGGATGGAACAAAGGGCCCGCTCTCCTTTATACTACAGTTTCTTCCATCCCTTTTCCATGGAATCATTGAACAAATCTATAAAGGAATTCAGAGAGAACTTAACAGCAGCATCTACCTCTTGTCTTAAAATTCTCTGGTCCACTTGAGAGGTGGGTTTTGTTTTGTTTTGATTTGGGGTTTTTTGGCTTTGGGGGCTTGTTTGTTTTTTGTTTGACTGGTTGGTTTGGTTTTTTGAGAAGGGTCTTTCTATGTAACTGTGGCTGTTCTGGAACTTGCTCTGTAGATCAGGCTGGCCTCTAATTCAGATCCACCTGCCTCTTTCTCCTAAGTGCTGGGATTAAAGGCTGGCTTCACTTGAGGGGTTTTTTTTAATCTTTTCTTGATATTTAGAAGCCAAAGAAGAAATAGATTCACTAGTACATTCAAGTACTAGCTAATCCCAAAGATGAATTATTTCTATAGTCTTTATTTAAAAAATAACTCATTATATAATCCTGTTTTCTCTCCTCACATTCATTTCTCAACCTCATTAATATCTCTGCCTTTTGACCTCACTGCTTAAATACAATTGTTCTCCTAGACTTTTCTAAAGGCTGCCTAGTTACTAGATTAGTAACCATTAGTTCATTCAGGAAAAGAATTCAGTTGGCCAGGCAAGGTGGCCCACACCTTTAAGGTCAGCATTGGGAGGCAGAGGCAGACAGATCTCTGTGACTTGGTCTTGTGAGTTCAAGTCCAGCAAGGGCTACATAGTGAACTCCTGTCTCAAAGCAACATTTTTTCCAGTTGTATACCTGAGAGTGTTCCAAGCTGTCCTGGAACTCACTCTGTAGACCATGCTATCCTCAGACTTGAGGCATTCCTTCTGTCTGTGCCTCCTGAGTGCTAGAATTACAGGCATGGGCCACCTCTTCATCCTTTTTGTTTGGTTTAGTTTGGTTTAATTTGGTTTTGGTTTTTAGTTTTTCAAGACAGGGTTTCTCTGTCTTAACAGCGCTGGCTGTCCTGGAACTCACTCTGTAGACCAGGGTGACCTCGAACTAACAGAGATCCTCTTGCCTCTGCCTCCCAAGTGCTGGGATTAAAGGCATGTGCCACCATGCCTATCTGTTTCTTCATCCTTTTATAGCTCAAATTCTGACAGAAAAATGGGACAGTACATAGGATAAGTCAGTAGAACACTAGCCATGTGACTAGGAAGTATGGATTGAGAGATAACGTAGGAAGGAGGGACTAGGAAGATTTAGGAGAGCAGTTTTAGACAGTGACCAAGAAAGCATTTAATGAGGATGTGGTTTGAGTAATGTGCTCTCTCCCCAAAAGAAGTCAGGTCACTCGCATGTTATTATCTAAGGAAGATTTTTGTGGGCAGTGGAAGCAATCAAGTCAAAAGCCTAGAAGTAAGGATGTTTCTTACTTTGTAGAAAAAGCTAGAAAGGCAGTGTGACTACAGCAGCCAATTAAAGGATGAGGGGAAGCAGAGGGCCCTATGAGTGCTTCTTTAGTGTGCCAATGAATTGCCTAGAGACCTTATTAAAATGCGGGTTCTGATTTAGAAAATCTAAGGTGAGGCAGAGATTCTGTTCCTAACAAGCTCTCAGGTAATGCTATAGATGCCGACAGGCCTGTATTCTGAGTAGGAGGGGCTGGATGCTTCACTATAAACACTGGAGGGTTTGAAGAAAATGATAAGATCTGACTGACTTCTTAATAATCTGACCATTGTACTCCAGTGGGGTGAAGGGAGCAAGAAGACATGATAACCTGAAGAGCATCACTCATAGCCTTGACAAGAACATTTTTGGTGAGATTGTGAAGGAGAAAAAAAAAAAACCACACACTCCTCATTGGAGTGTATTCTTAAGATGTGGGAATGGAGTTAGTGAGAAGTGTAGAATTCTAGATGTAGTTTGATAGTAGACCAAACAGGATTTGACTGCATGGCCAGATGAGCAATGTAAAAAGGGAGAAGAGGACAAAGACAGTTTCAAAACTTTGGCATCATTAGCTGGAAAGATGGCGTCACCTCTCACTTAGGAAGGAAACTTGGTCAGGAAACAATAAAATCGAGGTGCTTGTTAGAGCTCTAAGCTGGGATGTCAATCAGGCAGTGTCATACCAGTTTCTGATGTTTCAGGCATTTTAGGCTAAAGAGAAAAGTTTGAGATCATTGGCATCTAGCTAGAATTAACGCCATGAGACTAGATAAAAATCACCAAAGGACCGAGCACTGTGCAGAGAAGGAAGTGGGAAACCCCTAAAGAGCCTGAGCTCTGGGAGACTCCGGCATCTAGAAGACAGACAGAGAAGCAATAGTAAGCCAAAATCACAGTGAGAGCTGAGAGGCAGCAGAATACAGACACACAAGGGGGCAAGAAACTAATGGCTGTCCCAGATCCTTCTGGTAGATTGGATGACGACTGAGAAATGGCATTGGATTTCACAAGATATTTACTGGTGGCCTAGATAAGAACTGTGTACTTGCGTCCCTCCTGAAATGCCTTTAAAAGAGGATGGGAGAAAATTGAATTTGCAAGTATGACCTGCTCTTTCTAGGGCATTTGAAGTTGAGGGCAGGAACAAATGAAGACCTTCACCAGAAGCTGGGTAGAAACAGTGTTTTCCTTTTATTTCCTTTTGCTTTAAGAATTAGACAAGCACGCTTTTAACAGAGTATACCAGTCCTGTAAAGAGAACTGGTGATGCCAGACGGGGCAGAATTGCTGAAAATCTGCCCTTGAGTAGCCAGGGGAATGAGATCAAGGGTGGAAGTGGAAGGGTTGTTGCTTTAGCCAGGAGCATGTACAGTGGGCACCTGTGACTACTCCCTTCAGATACCTGCCTATGTCTGTCAGGAATTTGTAGGGTTGCTATTCTTTCTGATTTGCATATTTTGCTGGAAGAAAAATGTTTGAAATTTAGGAAGTACTAAACCCGTGACATTTGAAATGAATGATAGGGAAAGCAGGAGTAGCCTAAACAGCCAGATTAATTAAAATATTTGAAAAGTAATGCCTGCTAAGATCAAACTAGATCTCAGGATCACTTCTTATAGGACTTATTTTTGTGTATGAATGATTTGACTACATGTATGTCATTGCACCATATGCATACTTGGTGCCTGGGGAGATGGCTGTTAGCCACTGTGTTGGTGCTGGTAATTGAACCTGGGTCCTTGATAAAGCACAGGTGTTCTAAACCACTGGACCATTTCTCCTACCCTACGGGCACTACATTTTAAAGAACATGGTTAATGTTGGCTTTATAGCTACTTTTTAAATATACATTTATTAAAGGACCTCAACAATCTAGAAGCCTCCTATATAAAGTCATTGGTATATCTCCTAGAAAATGTCAGAAAAGATCATTTCTTTCATCTACAGTAAAGTATGCATCTGCTTTTCTTCATTGTTCTATCCACTGTAATCTGATATCTGTTTCCATAGTTCCATTGAAATTATATTCCCCTAAAGCTGTATAACCTTCAGGGATCCAAATTTAACAGAATGTTTTTAGCATGTCTGATTGTTTTTGCTTTTTTTTTTTTTAATAGTGTCTTACTTGGTAGCCTGGTTGACTTGGAACTGATTATAATATAGACCAGGCTGGCCTTGAATTCACAGAGATCCTCTTGCCTCTGCCTCACAAGTACTGGGATTAAAAGCATTCCCTACCTCACCCAGCTAGCCTGTCTTATTTGACCTTAACGCCTTTTTTTCTTAGTTACTGCCCTTTCTTCCTTAAAGTCTCCCTGTCCTTTCTCTTGTAGCATTCTCCTAATTCTTGATTCTCCTTTCCCAATATTTCTAACACTTGCTTTTAAATTGCTGTTATTTTGACTGTGTTCTGTGAGTCCTTTCTTCTCAGTGCTTTTCTGGACAATTCCCAGCAATGGTTCCCCTGGATGCTGCCTTGCAGCTCTTGTTCCATCTTTTATCATTCTTTGATACATTACATCCCAACCACAGTTTCCCCTTCCTCCTCTCCTTCCTGCCCCCCTTCCCCTCTCCACTCCTCCTCCATTTCCCTTAAGCAGACTTATTAAGAGATATTAAGCGAACACGGCATAACAAGTTACAATAAGACTAGGCACAAACCTTCATGTCAAGGCTGGGCAAGGCAACCCAGTAGGATAAAAAAGATCCCAAGAGCAAAAGATTGATAGACACCCCACACACACACTCCTGGTGCAGGAGAATTGTTCGTATTCTGTCAATCATGTTTTAAATAAATGCTGATTGGCCAGGCAAGAAATATAGGCAGGAAAACCAGACGGGAAGTAGAAATGATGTAATGAGTACAGGAGAATTCTGGGAAGGAGGAAGCTGATTCCTCCCACTCCTGCCCAGACCACCGAAGCAGCAGGATGTGATCTGTCTCACCGGAAAAGGTGCTGAGCCACATGGCTAACATAGATCAGAAAAATGGGTTAATCAAGATGTGAGAGTTGCCAGTGAGAGACTAGAGCTAATGGGCCAATCAGCTTATAATTTATGGAGACCTATGTGTGATTTTCTTTGGGGCTAAACAGTTGTGGGGTAAAGGGTGAGACAGAAACCCAACAAACAAGCAGGCCCCCCTTCATGTTACACACTCCCACTGTTAGGAGTCCCACAGGAACACCATGCTACACAATCATAACATAGATGCAGAGGACCTACCTCAGACCTATACAGGCTTCATAATTGTCATTTCAGTCTCTGTGAGCCCCTATGAGCCCATGCTTAGTTGATTCAGTGGGCCATGGGCCATGTTCTCCTGGTGCCCTCTATCCCCTCTGACTCCTACAATCTTTCCTTTCCCTTTTCTGTGGGGTTCCCCAAGTTCCACCTGATGTTTGGCTGTGGGTCTCTATCTGCTTTTATCAGTTGCTAGATGGAGCCTCACCGATGATGATTAGGGTAGGCTCCAGTCTTTGAGTATAGCAGAATATCATTAGGAATCATTTCATTGACTTTTATTTATTTATTTATTTGGCCAGTTGTGTTTGATTCTGTCCTAGGTCACTGAGCCATCCAGGCAGTGTCAGGCATGGGCTCCCTCTCGTGCTGTAGGCCTCTAAGTTGGACCAGTCATTGGTTGGCCACTCCCACAAGTTCTGTGCCACCATTACCCCATTATGTCTTGTAGGGCAGACAAACTGTAGGTCGAAGGAAGATTTTGTGGCTGAGTTGATGTCCCAGTCCCTTTGCTGGAAGCCTTGCCTGATTACAGAAGACGGCCAGTTCAGGCTCTGTATCTCAGGACATGTTTCCCAGTTGTCCATAGGATATTTCCACTGATTATGCTGTAAGAATTTCATGCTCATTGTCTCATCTGTGTGTCTTCTCATCCATACATCCTAATCTGTCCATGATAATAGTAAGTTCCTAATCACCTGCTGGAAACCTGGGAATTACCTTGGACTCTTGCTTTTCCTTCACTGTTCATGATCATACATTCATTCAGTTCTCTCCAATCTCCACCTTTTGTGTCTCTTAGCTTTTACTCCTCTGTCCTTTGTCCTGCTTGTGTTTAAACTCCTTCATGTGTTGCATAGCTTTTAATTAACTGGACCCTTTGTTCTCTTAGACCTTGTTCTTCCTGCGTAGGATGATGATGTTTACCTGATTTGTGCCTATAAGTGGAGACTGCTTTTGTGTTCCGGCTGCCCAGACCCAAATAATCACACAGAAACTATATTAATTACAACACTGTTTGGCCAGTAGCTTATGTATATTTCTAGATAGCTCTTACACCTTAAGTTAACCCATTTCTATTAATCTGTGTATCACCATGAGGCTGTGGCCTATTTATTGGTAAGGCATCTGGCATCTTTTTCCTTCGGTAGCTACATGGTGTCTCCTTGACTCCACCTACTTTCTCTCTATATTTCTGTTCGGATTTCCCATCTGGCTTTACTCTAGTTAGGCCATTGGCCGAAACAGCTTCTTTAATAAACAATGGGAATGAAACATTCATAGCGTACAGAGGGGAATCCCACATCGGGTGCCTATTCATCTTTTAAGATCTTTCTTAGCAGCCTCTACACATACAGAAAACTTATCTGACTCTCTCCAGTGCCTCTTATGACATTTTCTCTAAACATCTGTTGCAGTATTTACATTGCATTATGATTATTGCTGATTATAGAGTGTGTATTCTTTCAGAGTAATAATCAAATATTCATCTATTATCCATTTTCCTGCCTCTCTTACCTTTCCAGTATCCCTCTTTAAAAATTAAATAAATAACTTACTCGCACATGCAAGTCTTAGATTCATCTGTCATCTCTCTGTACCCTCCTTGTCTGTTTCTTAGAAGAACTCAGTAGGAGTGTATTATTGGAAGGAGAATAGTTACCTGCCTAATTAACATTTATACTTGGGCTATGGCTATTGCTCAGAACAGAAGCCTTGTCAAGCATTTGTGAGGCTCTGGGCTTGATTTCCAATACTTCACAAAAAAATTATATTTAAATGTGTTGTACCTGATAGTCAAATGTTCTAATTGTTATTCAATCTATAATCTAAGAAATTATAACCTCTATTATATTCCATAATAGTTATTCCTGTGCTCTTTAAGAAATGGCTCTTTTATGATAAGGACCAAAGTACCTAGACAACCCCTATTCTTGCTCATCTGGTCCATTAGGAAATACATGAAAGGTAACATATAAAAGCCAATCTCTGTTGCATGCTCAGAGCTAAAACATGAAGTCTATGTTGGAAGGAAGGGTCATTGTTTTGGACAGAGATTAGAGTTGGTTTTATTAGGAAATGTCTACAGAAACATTATATTTCATACAGATTGTGGTGTTGGAAGTAATTCAAGTACTAACATGTGCTTTTGGTGGCAGGAAAATTTGTGTTCAGCCTGATGAGAGAAACTTTTGCTGCCTTCCTTACCAGACTTACATACTTTTACCTGTTGCTCAGGTTAACACACCCCGAGGGTCCATACAGCAGCACAGCCACATCATCCACCAACAACCCGGAATTTGTGGAGGATCTCTCCCAGGGCCAGATGCTTCAGAGTGAGTCTTCCAATGCTGCAGAAGGCAATGAGCAGAGACATGAAGATGAGGTAAGCTAAAATTCTCCTGTCATGGCAAGGCAGTGGTGGTGCACGCCTTTAATCCCAGCACTCAGGAGACAGAGGCAGGTGGATCTCTGTGAGTTCGAGGCCAGCTTGGTCTTTAAGAACTAGTTCCAGGGCTGGAGAAATGGCTCAATGGTTAAAAGCACTGACTGCTCTTCCAGAGGACCTGGGTTCAATTCCCAGTACCCACATGGCAGTTCACAACTGTCCGAAAATCCAGTTCCAGGGGATCTGACACCTTCACACCAATGCACATAAAATAAAGATAAATAAATCATAAAATTAAAAAAAAAAAAAAAAGAACTAGTTCCAGGACAGAGAGCTACACAGAGAAGAAACCCTGTCTCAAAAAACCAAAAAAAAAAGAAAAAAAAAAGAAAAATTTCTGTCACTGTCCTCTGGGGCTTCCAAAGCAATAGGCATATAAGGGGTTGTTGAATGAAGTGATTGCCACCTCACTTCTTAGTTTCCTGGGCTGACACTTGCCCAGTTTTCTCATACCTGTCTCTAGTTATACCTAGAGGCATATCAATGGTTTTAATGGCACAGTTACAACTAGAGTCTACTAGCCGGGTGGTGGTGGCACAGGCCTTTAATCCCAGCACTCAGGAGGCAGAAGCAGGCGGATCTCTGTGAGTTCAAAGCCAGCCTGGTCTACAAGAGCTAGTTCCAGGACAGGTGCCAAAGCTACAGAGAAACCCTGTTTCAAAATAGAAAAGAAAAGAAAAAGAAAAAAAACCAAATAGAGTCTCTTTATCCTCAAGCTAACTAAATGTAACTGCCTCTTATGGAATGTTCCACAGTGCTCAGGAGTTATTGTGTTATTTTTGTTTTTATTTATTGATGTTATTGCTATTTTGATATAAGGTCCAGGGCTCCCAAGCTGCAGGGTTTGGTAATGCAGATGTACCCACCGTGCTCAGTCTTGACAAATATTTGTTTTTTGAATGAATGAATTAATTAGGTAGCTACTGAGAGGTCTTCATGCTCTTGTTCATGGCTATACTCTGCTCACAAGCCCTGGCAGCACAAAGTTGTGTGAACCAAAGGATTCAGACCACTTAATGACTCCTTCTCCCCTCAAAGGGTCCATCTTTCTCTAAATCACACAAAGATTCAATATGGGCATGAGTAGTCATGTCCTTATTGGACCTCCAGACTTCCTCATAGATGACTGATCACGTTTCACTGTTTTGATTTTAAGACCAAAAAAAAAAAAAAGCATCATTAATTTTTTCTTTTATGTGAAAAGACTAGTTCGTTCATTTATCCCGTTAGCATTCTTAAAGATAATGAATGCTAGCAGCTCTCCATTGACTTGTTATGTGTTCGTTGTGGGTGTGTGTTGGGGAGTGTTTGATACACAATAAATAAAAACTCAGGGACAGATATTGGGGTTCAACCTGAAGATCTGAAAAGCAAAACAGCTAGCCACTGGCTTTTATTTAACTCAACCTCAGTCTGTATTGGCAATCCTACCTCCAGAAATCTCAGAATGAGACTGTGTCTAAGAGCTGTCTCTTCCTGTTTTATAGTCCACTCTAGTTCTAGGATTAAAGGTGTTCACCATTACCTTCTAGTTTCCATGGCAAACTAGTATGGCTACTGGGATTAAAGGTGTGTGCTATTGCTGCCAGGTTTATAAGGCTAGCCAGTGTGGCCATTTTACTTTTCTAATCCTCAGGCAAGTTTTATTTATGAAAATACAAGTGAAATGCCACTACAGGTGTTTGTGTGGCTGTATAGTTCTGGGGATTCATGCTAAGCACATTTCCATTGAGCTATACATCTCTAGGCTCCTTAGTAGCTTCATGTTCCTAGGTTTCCAAAAACATAAAACAAAAACTGGGAATCTAATCTCTAATACGCCATTTGCCAAATGGAGGGCCGTCACCATTCACATACATTTGAAGGAGTGCAGTAAAACAGTAAATAGATGCTTTTGTTATTGTTTTTAATCTTGTTTACCTTTTTCTTCTCTGAAATAAGAATTCTATAACCGTGGTACATTAACTAATAGACTATGTTAGATTATGGAGCAAAAACATGATATGCTTAGGTCTCATTCAGAAGGCTAAGAAGAAAGGCTGTGGTAAAATATCAGTCACAATGTAGTATTTTTTAAGCATCTTAAAAGTTGATTTGATCTATATATAAAGACTTCTAACTTAAGGAAGAAATCATTAGGTTGAAGAATTTGTCTTCATTTTTTATGTTACTGATAGTTTCCTGATACCTAAATATTAATTTAAATATCTATATGCTATTTGCTATGGGACATTAACTGGTCTTTAGTACCAGTGAAGAACACTTTTGTGAATTATTTTTAATCTCCATGCGGCAGCTCTTCTTGCACTTGGTGCATGTGACATCTTATTCTAGTTTCCTGTCACAGTGTCTGCTTTTGTGGCACAGTGCATGTGTGTGCTGCTGAATTTCTCATGTGGAAATCCCTGTTAGAAAGTGTAAAGGAAGGCCAAAGCTTGCATGATCGTGGTATCCTATTCTCATCTTCTGGGACTGGCACCAAAATAGCCCTTTATACACACCAAGGGTGGTGATGCATCCTAGAATCCCAGCACTCAAGAGGCTGAGGCAGGGGATCACCATGAATTTGCAGTTACCCTGACATACATAGTGAGTTTGAGGCCATCTTGTGCTACCTATAGAAACCCTGTTTCCAAAAATAAAATTTAATAGCGCTCTATTTCCCTAGTTTGCAGCACAATGCCTTAGAGCAGTGGTTCTCACTCTTCCTAATACTGCAGCCTTTAGCACAGCTCCTCATGTCATGTGACCCCAACCATAAAATTATTTTCATTGTTATTTCATAACTGTAATTTTGCTACTGTTATGAATCACAATGTAAACATCTGATATGCAGGACATCTGATATGCAACCGCTATGGAAGGGTCCTTTGACCTCCAGAGGGGTTTCGACCCACAGATTGAGAACTGCTGCCTTAAAGGGTCTACAGTTGAAATATCTGAAGCTCTTTACATAGCGTTGTAGTCTTTTGTACCTGACTGATCTGAGAACTTTGAATATCCAGGGCCTCATGGGAAGATGCAACTCAAATTCTCTTTTGATATTGGTGTTTGTTATTATTGTTGATGGGTTACTTGAGTGATTATTGTTTTATTTTTGTTTTTCATTTTGCTTTGTTTTATAGCAAAGAAGTAAACGAGGAGGTTGGTCCAAAGGGAGAAAAAGAAAGAAACCTCTCCGAGACAGCAATGCACCCAAATCCCCCCTTACAGGATATGTTCGATTCATGAACGAGCGTAGAGAACAGCTTCGAGCAAAGAGACCAGAGGTCCCGTTTCCAGAAATCACAAGGATGTTGGGCAATGAGTGGAGTAAACTGCCTCCTGAGGAGAAACAGGTGATGGTTCTTGCTTCTGGCCCTTGGCTTGTTTTGATTATATCTCAAAAATTATTTGGAGCCTGGAAAGATGGCTCAGTGGTTGTGCTCACTCACTGTTCCTCTAGAGAATTGGAGTTCATTTTCCAGATCCCATGTCAGATGGCTGACAACTGCCTGTAGCTTCAGCTTCCAACTGATCAGACACCCTCTTTTGGCCTCAAAGGCACCTACATAGGTGTGACATATGTTCATACATTGTGGGGAGGGGAGAACATAGTACGATATAAATATTTTTTAAAATATTTCTATCAGAAAAGCCAAGAAGGTGGACAGTTGGTTCTTTAGTTGTGTCTCAGTGCCCTGGGGACTGAGGCAGAACCATCAGGGCTACAGAATAAATTTAAGGCTAGCTTAGCTAGAGACCATCTTAAACTAAAAAAAAGTACGAAAAGGGTTTGAGTGGTAACTTGGAGCAGAGCACTCGTGGGTTCTAGTTCAATCTCCAGTGCTGCAAAAGGAACATGAGAAAAGGCTCTAGAAGGAAGATGTTGAGATGTTGTGGCAGTTGACCAGTGCCACATCTTGGAGATTTCAGACTGCTGGCCTTGTGCACTGAAGTTGAGAGCATGTACCCTAAAATCTATGTCTGCAGTCTCAGAACAAGGCCTTTGCAAATGTAATTAACTTAGGAGAGGTCAAACTGGTTCAGATTGGCTCTGATCCAACAATATGTTCACAGAAGGAGAGAAAAAAGACAGGCACCCATGGAGGGTCATATAAAGAGGGAGACAGAAACAGGAATTATGTTTCTATATGGAAACAGAGAAAGCACCAGAAACTCGATGGGGAAGGAAAAGAAGACCATAATAGCAGGGTCCATGTAGTTCCTCTCTCTGGCACAGTGAGTAGACGCTGTCCCAAGAGTTGTTGGAGGTTTGTGAGTGGCAAGGACTCTAGAATCCACCCCCCCACCAAAGCAGCTACATTTTATTTGATGAGTATACTGAGTTCACAGAAGAATGTTTTGAAAAGTGGTTCAATATTAAGAAATTAAGAAATCTATCAAAGTAATGTATTCTATTGAGCTAAATGAAAGTCATGAATAAAAATAAGGGAAAAATCATTTGCCAAAATTCTTCAATTCACATAAGAATTTTATTTAAGAAAAAGATCTTATTGCTTTACCGATTGTTTTAACTAGATTTTTAGCAAATTTAACCACAACAGAAAATAAAGCAGAACTACTTGATCGTTCTCCTCTAAGACAGAAACTAACCATGTTGCCAAACTAAAACAAGTCTCTTCGTTAGAGAGACTGAAGGGAATTAAGCGCAAGATAGCCATGCACTGGGTGAAAGGCCACTGCAGCAGAGGGATGATGGTAACTAGGGCAGACGGGCTTTGCAGTAAAAGCCCCCGCTTCCTGGCATCTGAAACATCTATATTTCTTTTATGCCTTAAATTCTTTTGTGGCTTGCACTCTTTAAAATGGATTCCAGAAAGACTAAAACTAAATTGAAAAATATATCTTGGGAATTAACTGAATTCAAAATTTTCAAAGAGAGCCAGGCAGTGGTGGCGCACGCCTTTAATCCTAGCACTCGGGAGGCAGAGGCAGGTGGATCTCTATGAGTTCGAGACCAACCTGGTCTACAGAGCTAGTTCCAGGACAGGCTCCAAAGCCACAGAGAAACCCTGTCTCAAAAAACCAAAAAAAAAAAAAAAATTTCAAAGAGATAAGATTAAATTTCAATTTGAAGCTTTATGTTTGTGGTAGGCAAGCTTACAGAAAGCAGTTTATAACAAGGAGGTCATCAGATGCCTTGCCAGTTTATTATTTTTTTTTATCTTTATTTCAAAGTTAATGCATGCTCAAGTTTTATTTTTTGTGGTAGTAGTAAGCGTGTAAACAGAAAGCAGAAATAACAGTGGTTCTCTAATGATAACCACTGCTGGCTGTTTAGGAAGGCTTTTATATGTGTTTGGTCAACTTTATTTTGAAGTAATTTCAAATGTACAAAAAGTTAAAAACATGAAAATAGTACAAGAACATCCAAAAACCCTAAAACAGCATCTATTGCTAACAAAAAGAAAAGAAAGGTGTCCCCTTAGGCATAATATCTATAGATAAGTTTCACTTTTTCTAATCTTTATCATTATGTTTACAAAATGGTAATTTTTCCAATTCCAACATTCCTCACTCAGTTACCAGTTGGTCCTCAACTTTCTGATCTATACAGGGGTCTTGTTCCTTCCTCTTGAACAGTTGCCTGTATTCTGTTTGTTATTGGTATGATCATAAATAATTCATATCATAAAGTTTATTCATGATATAATATCTTTTTCAGCAGTTTATAATTTATTACCATGCTTAATTTATTTGTTCCTTAAATCATCCCAGATTTAGCCAACCCCTTATTTCTGCGGGGTGGGGGGATTTCTAACATAACCTCTGAATCTGATTGCTCATTTACAGGCAGCACCTTTTATACTTTCTTACACCTAATTTGATGAATGAAATGGACAAAGCATTAAGCAAAACAATTCTGGAGATCAGTGAACTTGTTTAAATAATTAATAGCACAGAATGATCAAAGCATAGAGCTAAAGCTCTCTTAGAGTAGTCTCTTTTAGGCCCATCGGATGAGATCATTCTTTTCGTGTTCTCCAGCATTAGTGTTCTACTCATCTGGCTTTTAAAAGGGCCAATGGATGTATGAGATCATTCCCTCAAAATGAGTTGAGAGTAGAAAAACACACTAATATTCCTTCCCTTCCCCTGGGAACATGTGCCTGTATGGAATTCAGACCTCTGAAGAACTCCAGTAGCCACATGAAATTCTATCTATAAGGCTAGGGAGATGGTTGACTGTAATCTTCATGAATGTTTTATGTTGGTGCTCTCAATAGAACTTACCTTCATTAAACTAGGAAAAACAATACACGGTCTAGAAAGTCAATCAATCACTCGTTTATTCTCTAATGATGTGTTTTATTTATTTATTTAATGTGTATGTGTAGACATGCAGAGGTCGTTACAACTTTCAGACACAAGCTGTCTCTGTCACCCAGGTCGAACTACAGTTGTCAGGGATGGCAGCAAAAACCTTTCCCTACCAAGTCTCCTCAACAGCCCTTGCTTGTTTTATGATTGAAAGATTTTATTCCACCTGGTATTGGTGGTGCACACTTTTAATCCCAGCATTTGGGAGGCAGAGGCAGGCAAATCTCTGTGAGTTCAAGGTCAGCCTGGTCCAGGACAGCCAGGGAAACACAGAGAAACCCTGTCTTGGAGGGGGAAAAAAAGATTTTATTCTATACCTGCTTTCAGATTCTCCTACAACATACTGTATACTTTTTTTTCTTGTTTTAATTGTACTCTTTCTTTAAAGAGCTAATTGATACTTTACCTAACCTCTCAGTTTCCTGAAAATAATCCCACACTTCTTTTCTAGCGCTACCTTGATGAAGCAGACAGAGATAAGGAACGTTACATGAAGGAACTGGAGCAGTATCAGAAGACTGAGGCCTACAAGGTCTTCAGTAGGAAAACCCAGGACCGTCAGAAAGGCAAATCTCATAGGCAAGGTATCAGAACCAAGTGCAGTTTGTCTTACTTGTTGGAGTATTATGATTCTAACTGTTACGGTGGCAAATGTGAAAGATGTGTTTCTGTTATCTCTCTGTTGTCCTGTATTCACTTAGAGATCTCACCCTAGAATTTTACCAAAATTACATCATTCTTTTGACACTTTGCTTGGTTTTTTGAATTTAAGATCAATAATCTGGCTGATGCACCAAAACTACTATTCCCTACCTGCCTTTCTTGGTCTAGTTTCCAAGTTAGGCGCTTCTCTACCTTTGAACAAGTCTGTCTACGAAACCTTGTAACTAACTTGCCCTAACACTTCTAAGCCTTTTCTGTGCTCTTCTTCTCTACCTCCATGATCCTCTTCATTTAATCATTTATTCATGCATGAATTCAAAGGACGCTCTATTGAGCTTCTTCTGTTAAGTACCAGATCTGTTGTGGGCCTTGAGGGAGCGATAGTGAATGAGATGGCATCTATGTCTTCACGGGATCTTTTTTCTCTGTTGAAATGGTACATCACATCCTCACAAGTCTTGCTCCAGTTCCCCTCTCCAGGAAACACTGCCAAAGGCACACCACCCACACTGGTCTGGCATCCCTTAGCCACAGCATCTTCACACTTGCACATTTAGGCTGCTCAAACCTTTGGCATGTGTTTCCTACCTGCTCTCACACCCTGTTCCCTCAAAGGTAAGAACTATCTGATGTCTCCTTATACCTGCTTGTGTGCTCTGTAGATGTGGGGGGCCATTTAACTCTTGTTGACTGACAGTTAATTATGCCATGAATAAAAATATCATATGTTGTGAAAGTCTGCGGATACCAGCAAGTTTTGTGGTTGGCACAGTCATCTACTTGGGTTTTGTTATTGTTTTCTTTTTCGGATTAATTTTTTTTATTCTTTCATATTTTTAGATGCAGCCCGACAGGCCACTCACGATCATGAGGTAATTAGCCTTCTGTCTGCATACCCATATATACTTATAATAATATTGCTTTTTGAAATGCTGCTACTTCTTTTTTTTTCAAGAATGGTACAGACTCTTTTATTCCATTATTCAGACTGAGTTGCTTTGGCTCAGGGGTTCTTAACATATGGTAGACACTTATGTCATGAATCTGCCTTTGAACTGCAGTCCCTAACCCCAATCTGTTCCTGTAGTCTAAGAATTTCATTAGTTTTAAATGCCAAGAAATGGTTGGAATTCAGAATCAGACCCAGAAATGGAAGCCAGATAGAGGCTGCAACTTGGCCATAGTTTATCATCAACAAATGCTGTCATCCACTTCAGAAAGGGGTTGCTTAGGAGATCCAGCATTGGGTAAAATGATTCTCAGCTAGTCAGTAGCACACAGTGGGCTGGAGCTCAGGCCCTGCACCTCCTTTCCTGTCCTCATCTCACTGGCATGTGCTTATTTGTTGACCTCTTCCCTCTGGTTTGCTTCAGCCTGTATGTGTTTAATACATAAGTTTGTATGTTTGACTATGTTGCTTTTATATGCTTCAGATATAGAGGTAGGTGGTTAAATATACAGATACAAAAATAAGATAAAATCTCTGGTCATTCCATGCTTTAGAATGTCAGGGACTCATCTCTGCTCACCTAATCGTATTCAAGCACAGCAGTCAGGGTCTTCTCATTTCAAACACCTTCAGAATATTGCCTGCGCGGCATCTCCCAGGCGTCCTCCTCTGCCTCATGTCTGTGTTCCTATTGTTCTTTCACAGGATTACCCTCAGACATTCTTCTCTCCATCTTCCTGTTTCTGCTTCGCAAAGTTGAAGTCATCAAGCCCTGTTAAGTTCCATTTCCTCCTTAACTCCTTTTATTTCTTCTCACTTGCTTCAACCTTCAAAGTTGCTATACTTCTCCCATATAGATAGCCGAGCTGACCTGGTGACTCTCCCAAGCTCTTCTCTTATTCACATTCTGGATTACTTTTCTATCCAATACCATGCCACCCAGCATGATGTTCATGCATGGAGAATGTATTCTGTAAAAATTATTTTTCTCTAAGAATCCAAAGATAACTGAAAAGTAGTGGGAATTTAAACAACATGGTTTTCAAGCTGGAAGATGGCTCAGTTGATAAAGTACCTACTGTGCAAGCATGAGGGCCTGAGTCAGATCCTTGGCACCCACGTCAAAACCGCTCTAGGTAATGCTAGCCTCCTAACCTAGCCTAATTGGCGAGTTCTAAGCCAAAGAGTGACTCCATCACAAAAAACCATAGTGGCTGGCCAGGATGGCACCCAAGGTTAGCCTCCGATGTTCACATGTGCTATGGTATTTGGAATATTTCAGCAGATGTATGAGTGAGTTAATAAAAAAAAAAGTATGTTTCTTATAAAATACCTAAAACATCATGGATTCTAAATCCATACTTTCTTCTCTTATGAAGAGTGCAATAGGATTCCAATAGAACAGACCTTTAGTCTGTCTTAAAATACTAACACCTCAGACATATTCTCAGCTGCCCCATTTTGCTAGTGAGCGGGATGACTTACCTATGATAAAAGAGTTTATTCAACTTAAGTTAGAGGGGCTGGAGAGATGGCTCAGAAACAAGAAACACTGACTGTTCTTGCAGAGGTCTTGGCTTCAATTACCAGCACCCACATGGCAGCTCACAAGTCCCAGGAGAGCCCTTTTCTGGCCTCTGTATACCCATGATACATGGCCATACATGCAAGCAAAACATACACATAAAAATAAACTAAATTTTAAAAGATAAGTTAAATTAGAGGCAGTAGGGTAGCTTCCTCCATCCCAGTTAGCCACTGTTGACAACACAGTGCATGCTAAAGTACAAATCTGTCAGTCAGATGCTAGTGAAGACAGATTTACCAGTTTCCATATAGTGAAGAAGCTGATCTTGTTTCTAAATTGACTGAGATTCCCTAAGTCATTGATGCCTGGACAGAAGTAGCAGGATCATCTGAGAGCTGACAAATGCTCTCCTGGAAGCCTTTCTGCATAGCAGAAGGCACTGCATCCTGACTCGTGATAATAAGAATGGTCCTCAAGTAAAACGCACTCAAGAGATGCATGGCATACTCTTGTAGTTCTGGCCCTGAGCCTTGTCCTAAATCACGGGCTGAAATAGATTCCATTCAGAGAGCCCTCTGTTCTTTTTCCTTCCACTCGGTGAGTGAACAAAATGGAAATCCAAAGTGAAGAATATTCTTATCTTTTCAGATCAAAAACCAGCCCACTGTCAGGCTGTGTTGGCACACACCTTTAATCCCAGCACTCGGGAGGCAGAGGTAGGCAGATCTATGAGTTCAAGGTCAGCCTGGTCTACAGAGGATCAGTACCAGGACAGTCAGGGCTACACAGAGAAACCCTGTCTTGAAACTCCTTCCCAAAGAAAGAAAGCCCATTAGGTGCAGGAGTCTGTGAGCTTTATTCTCTAGAAAGTATCTTCATCTCATAGGATGACTGAGCTAGAAACAATAATTTTGTTTCTCCTTTAATTTATGAAAAATGACAAAGTGACACCCAGCCTGAACAAATTAGACCCTTTCAATGAGGAGGTAATCTAATCCTTATGATTTTAATCCCTTGAGCAATCCTCAGAGCATTTAGTATATCCAAGCCCTCAGGAGGGGCCTCTCTGTGCCAAGTAATGGACTCAGTAATGAGGAATGCTGGTGGTTTGTATTACCACTCTTCCTTTAGGTAGAATGTCTCTGTTGCAATGGGAGACTAAACAGTTTCATTTAATTGCTTTAATGTTTCTTATTTTATACTCTTAAGAATATGTACCGAGGGGCAGCGTATACTGCACCTCACTGCTGCTAGACTCTGCCCTTACAAAATGAGTTGAGTTTGGACTGTTCTGGCAAAGAATAGAATAGAACTACCTTTCTAAGGAGAGTAAAGACCTTGAGAAAGTCCCTTTCTGTTATAGTCATGAGAGCTAAGCAACCAACCCCTTAGCATTCTGAATGGCAAATACTCGGGCCCATGGTGAGGTCAATGTGCAACTGAGTGGGAAATTGAAAAGGTGAGAGAACTAAAGTTACAGGGCTCTGTTCTAAGTCACTTGTAAAGATTTAGGATTGGACTTATGGCACTGTGTGTATGTTGGGGTTGTGTGTCCTAAGTTTCCTGTCACAACCAGGAAATAAAGTTAAAGCATACAGTAAACCTGCAGTCTATAGACAGCTACTGGGAATGTGGCTAAGATCCCTTTCGGAACCAGTCTTTCTTGCCCATGCATTAGTTAAGTCTCATTGAACTCCGCTATGAACTGTTTTGGGAAGAGGTATGTGTATGCCAAAATGTGGCGCTTTTGATGGTAATCCTGCTGTTTATTTTTAAATTCTTCTAGAAAAAAGGTGTTTTCTTCCATTAGGAAAACAAAAGAATGTGGTAAAAATTAAGCACTCTGAAATGAAATGTTACTCGGGTAAACACATAAATTTTCAGGTCACCATCCAGTTTTTTAGAGGGATCTCACAAGTTTTGTGATTATGCATATGAACCACTAGATTCCCATCTTAAATGCCTGTCTTGATCTCTTCCCATCAGAAGGCAGTTTCTCCAGTCTGTCCGCTTTCCTAGGCAAACACCAGTGTGAGACAGGATCCCTGCACTCAGGTTTCCGCACAGCTGAACTGCTTACTGGGCATCAATTCATTCTTTTATTCAAAGATAAAAGTTAGTGGTAACAAGTAGAAACAATTTGTTGGAAGGGGAGGGGAAACTTGACATGGTATAAAGCCCCAGCTGGCTAAGAACTCATAGTAATCCACCATAGACACCACACTTGGCAAAAGGATACATTTTATCTCTTACCTTAACATATTTTTATAGGAATGAATTCTGGGTATTTTCTTTACTGCTTTCTTATTGAGAGGCTTTGGAATCTTCAGATTTCACAATAGATTCCTCACTTTCTACTCTTCTGTTTATGGTATGCAAGATTTTGAATATAAAACACCAATAGCTTATATTCATTATGCCTTCGACTTCAAATTCATTACAGAAATGTCAGGCAAATATCGGCTGTGTTCTTTTGTTGTTGTTGTTTTAATTATTTATTTCCTATTTTATGTTCATTGGTGTTTTGTCTGCATGTATGTCTGTGTGAGGATGTCAGCTCTCCTGAACAGGAGTTACAGATAGTTGTGAGCTACCATGTTGGTGCTGGGAATTGAACCTGGGTCCTCTAGAAGAGCCAACGCTCTTAACTGCTGATCCTTCTCTCCAGCCCCTTGGCTCTGTTCTTAAAGCTCATGGTTGGAAGTAGTTTACAGTAGTTTATGATACTTTTTATGTTAATGGTTGATAGGTGGATTAATTGGAGCTTTCTTTCTCTTTTCTGTCTCACATAACCCTTAGATTTCTAATATGTAGAGCCTGGTTATTTCTGAATTCTTGGGTTTGTTTGTTTTTCCTCTGTCTGAAGAAAAGTCTACAGGAGCCCCAAAGATAAACTACTCCTTCATAAATAGATAGAAGTACCAACAGAATGCCATTATTATTGTTCATTGCTGGCACATCTCTGCTTAGAATTCCTGTTCTCCACTCTGCAAATTTTGATTGCATACTCCCATCTCAGATGGTACTTAAATGCATAACCAATAAGAACAACTAAAATACCCTTTTTCAATTCCTGACCCAGCCACATTCACAATTCTCTACTGTAGACTGTTTAAACACAGTACTAAGAAAGGGCTTCTGTTGTCTTCATTAGTGAAATGCATCTGGGTTTGTTTTAGTCTTTCACTGTCTAGCAGTCATATACCTAGAGTTCTGATACTAACTGCTCCAGCTCTGTGAAGTTCCATTCTTATGAATGATTATATTCCCTCCCAGGCTCTCCTGGTCTGATTCCTGCTCACCAGCTATTTCTCTAAGGAAGACATGATCCTTGTGCCTTGGGCACTATTATTCAATTTAACTTCTAAGAACTAACTTTTGTTCTTGATTCATAGAAAGAAACAGAGGTAAAGGAGCGCTCTGTTTTTGACATCCCTATATTTACAGAAGAATTCCTGAACCACAGCAAAGGTAATTACTTCAGTGGGGTGTGTGTGTGTGTTCCTTGAGTCTCTGACAGGGGATTTAGTCTCAGGAGTTCATTGCTCAAAAGCAAGGCTGATAGCCCTCCTTAGGACTAGAAAGGACTCTGCAGCAAACAATGTCTGTTACTTCACTCTGTGACCAGTGAGCAAAAGCAAGGCCAATGCAGCCAAAGTTTCTTTGGTTACTGGATCAAAAAGAAATAAATATAAATCACTAATGCAGTGTTTTTAGATAGGTAGCCTAGAACCCTATATATAAATGAAAGTTTGCATGGGAATCCAGATTACACAATAAGAAATTGCAAAATTGGGAGCTGGAGAGATGGTTTAGTGGTTAAGAGCATTGGCTGTTCTTCCAGAGGATTCAGGTTCCATTTCCAGCACCCACATGGCAATTTGGTTTTGATTTTGGTTTGTTTTGTTTTTTGTTTTTGGTTTTTGTGGGGTTTGGGATTTGTTCTTTGTTGTTAGTATTGTTGTTGTTTGTTTTGTGGTGGTTGGTTTTGGTTTTTGGCTTTTCAGGTCAGGGTTTTTCTGTGTAGTCTTAGCCATCCTGGAACTCACTCTGTAGACCAGGCTGGCCTCAAACTCAAAGATCCACCTGCCTCTGCCTCCAAAGTGCTGGGATTAAAGGCATGTACCACCATCACCTGGCTTTTTTTGGTTTTTATTTTGTTTTGTTTTGTTTTTGGCAATTTGTAATTCCCGTTCCAAGGGATCTAATGCACTTATTTTGGCCTCTGTGGGCGCCAAGCATTCATGGTACATAGATGTACATATAGGCAAAATACCCATACACATAAAATAAAAATAAATAAAATATTTTTTAAAAGAAAGAAAGAAGAAAAGAAATGGCAAAGCTGCTCCCATTGCCAGAAAGATGAGCATCCACTGCTGTGCTTAGCCAGTTGTCTTGACACCCCTGAGAGCCCGTGCTTCAGGCTTCTCCATGCACAGTTTTAAAAAGCAAAATCTAACAAAATGCTGGGAATTGCCGCTGTTTGTTGCAATCTTGTGTATAGAATGTGTTGCTTTAAGAATTGAAATAGCTCTGGGGAGCCAGGCGTTTCATTGCTGAAATTGCTATCTGGAATGTCATTAAGAGAATTGGGAGATGAGGAGGGAGCTAATGAGAGACAGCTAAGCAGAACTTCCTTAGGAGGGTTACTGGGACTCCTCAGAGGCACCTTCTCTTACCACATGTGTTCTGGGGGCGGGGGCTTGTGTCCTCAGCTCGTGAGGCAGAGCTCCGCCAGCTTCGTAAATCCAACATGGAGTTTGAAGAAAGGAATGCAGCCCTACAAAAGCATGTGGAGAGCATGCGCACAGCAGTAGAGAAGCTGGAGGTGGATGTGATTCAGGAGCGGAGCCGGAACACGGTCCTTCAGCAGCACCTGGAGACCCTGCGACAGATGTTGACCAGCAGCTTTGCCAGCATGCCCTTGCCTGGTAATGTCATCCTCTCCATACACTTTCAGTGGTAGGGAGAGTGGGTCGGGGTGGGGATGGGGTATTGTTTATGCTATTAATGTGGAGAAACTGAAATGTCTCTCAAGAGATAAAGAGGGGGCATGTCCCATCAAGACATTCTCCTCCCCTGCCACACACACACACACACAGGGTTTCTCTGTGTAACAGCCCTAGCTGTTCTGGAACTCACTCTGTAGTCCAGGCTTACCTTGAACTCAGAGATCTGCCTGCCTCTGCCTCCCAAGCATCAGTGGGAGCTAGGCAGGGCATAATGATCCACACCTTTAATCCTAACACTTGGGAGGCCGAGGCAGGAGGATCTCTATGAGTTCGACACCAGCCTGATCTACCCTAGTGAGTTCCAGGATACCTAGGGCTACATAGTGAGACCATCTCGCAAAAAAAAAAAAAAAAAAAAAAAATTCAATGAGACATAGAATATCCATATTTATTAAAATAATCCAGACTGATCATTTAGATTTTTGTCCACTTCTGTTTTAATGTATTCTTTACTATTAAACCTATTCATAACCATTGGGTGATCAAGTTTCAAATCCTGAGAACATTTTGTTCCACATATGTTTGTCTTGAATTAAGTGGTGTTTTAATAGAAAGGAAAACAACACTAGAATTTCTTACCTTTGTTCTCGTTTTAATTATGATCATGGGAAAAATCTGGCAGTCTCAAATCTTTTGTTATACAACTCCTAGTAGACTAGTAGATACTGTATTATATTGCCCATCTGTCTAGATCATCAGTTCTGAACCTTTCTAACGCGCAACCCTTTAATACTGCTCCTCATGTTGTGGTGACCCCAACCATAAGATTATTTTCAATGCTGCTTCATAACTGTAATTTTGCACTGTTACAAATCATATTATCTGTTTTCCGATGGTCTTAGGTGACCACTTGTGAAAGGGTCATTCGACCCCCAAAGAATCGAAGCCCACAGGTGAAAACCACTGGTTTAGAGTATGCATTAATTATTTGTTGTTGCTATGATAAAACATCATGACCAAAAGAGACTTACCTAAGCAATAGTTTATTTGGGCTTATGGTTCCAGGGAGTTAGAGTCCATCATGGTGGGGAAGTGTGGTAACAGGTAACGGGCATAGTAGCTAGAGCAGGAAGATTAGAGATCACTCCAATTGAAACTCAGAAAGCCCTCTCCCTATAACATATTCCTCTAGCTAGCCCCCACCTGGCTCCCTACCCTCCTGAAACACTGCCATCAACCAGGGACCAAGTATTGAAATACATAAACCTGCCAGGTGATAATGGCACATGCCTTTAATACCAGCCCTCAGGAGGCAGAGGCAGGCAGACTTCAGTAAGTTCAAAGCTAGCATGGTCTACAAATCAAGTTCCAGGACAATCAGGACTGTTACACAGAGAAACTCTGTCTTGGGGAAAAAAAATAGAAACGATGCATATAAAGCATTACACCTGTTCTACGCGCTACACACTACAGTATGGTTTGCGAGCCGGGCAAGGGGCTGGAGACTGACAAACACAGAGAGAGACATGGGTAATCCTTAAAACAAGAATGCCCCCTTTATTGTGTTCAGGGCAGCTTATATAGTGCTCTGGCCACACCCCAGCTCTCGGGATCTTTCAGCTGCAGGCCATCAGAAAGCATTTCCCTACCATCAGGTCTCATGCTCAGAACAGCTGCAGGCTGCTCAGAGCAGAGGAAAACAAGTTGTTTACACCGGCACAGGAAATTAAGGGACTGGGGGTCCACAGTCCCCAACAAATGCATAAGCCTGTAGAGGACATTGCTCATCCAGACTACCACAAAATACGAAGATTAGTTCCCGACCTTTGAAGTCTGAAAGTCTCTCCTGTGCAATTAAAATCTGTCTGTTTGGCAAACCACGTTAGTGTCATGATTTTTTTTTTTTAACATGGATTCATTAAATATGTAGCTGGCGAAGCTGACCTGCATGAGGAAAGTTTTCTTACTGTGTCTTCTTATCTCACTTCAGGAAGTGGAGAAATGCCAACAGTGGACACTATTGACTCATATATGAACAGACTGCACAGCATAATTTTAGCTAATCCCCAAGACAATGAAAACTTCATAGCTACAGTCCGAGAGGTTGTGAACAGGCTTGATCGTTAAGTGCTGGTGAGTGCACACTGATAGGATGTTTGCATGCCTGCCCATCTTCAAAAGTGGGGTGTCCTCAGACCATCAAGATTGTTAGTCTGGAACTGCACTAAGTGAGGTGGAGACTTGACTTAGGTCCCTGATGTGTAATTGCTAGACATCTTTCTCAGTAATATAAAAACAAGACTTGATGGTTTCTCTTACATGTGTCAGTCCTGTTTAATGGAAGCAACATGATTTTGTTGTTAGAACTCAGTTCTAGCTTTGCCCCTTACTGGTTTCCTAAAGAGTCTGAGAAAGTTTAATGTAAATTACTCAAAAAATAGTTCTCGGAACAAAATAAATAGCATTCACCTGAGTCTGTCTTTTTCCTGATGAGTATTAGTGCAATTTAATGGGAATGTGTATATTTAATTCTACCTAAGTAAGAAATGTTCTTATTCACCACTCAATAGCAGTATGACTGTTGTATGTTAAATGTTGCTATAAACTAAACTTCAGTGAAGCAATTCATGTCTTGATTTTTGAAAAGTTTAAAAAAAGAAAGCCAGGCCTGGAGGGATGGCTCAGCCGTTAAAGGCTAGGCTCACAACCAAAAATATATGAGTTCAGTTCCCAGCACCCACGGCTGTCCCTCCAGGTACCAAAAAAGAAAGAAAGGAAGGAAGGAAGCAAGCAAGCAAGCCAAACACAGTAGCACACCCCTGCAATCCCAGCTCTTGTGAGGCTGAAGCAGGAGGATTGTGAGTTCAAGACCATCATGGGCTAGCACTTGTAAGACTGTCTGGAAAAGCAAACAAAAGGGTATAGAGAAGAAAGTCAATAAGTGTTGGCAGCATAAGTATGAGGACCTGAGTTTTCATCCCAGAACCCACATAAAAAAGCCAGGTGTGGTGATGTACCTTTAATCCTCGAACTGAAGAGGAAGAGACAGTGGATTCCTGTAGCTTGCTGGCCAGTCAGCTTAGCCTAATTGGTGATTCCAGACCAATGAAAGACCTGTCTCAAAAAAGGAAGATAGATGGTTCTTGAGAAATGGCAGCCTTAGATGTCCTCTAGTCTACACGTGCAGCCCCACAGACACCCACGTACTCACATGTACATATGCACACAATAAAACAAACAAGCTAGTCTTATAATCCCAACACTTGAGGTAAAGGTAGGAGAGTCCTAGGGGTTCAAGGTCAACCTGGCCTCCATAGTGAGCTCCAAAGCTAACAAACCAAAACCCCACCTTTTTTTTTTTAAGATTTATTTATTATGTATACAGCATTCCATATATGCTTGCATGACAGAAGAGGGCATCAAATCTCATTATAGATGGCTGTGAGCCACCATGTGGTTGCTGGGAATTGAACTCAGGACCTCTGGAAGAGCAGTCAGTGTTCTTAACCTCTGAGCTATCTGTCCAGACCCTCCCTCCCCCGCCAAGACTCCATCTTTAAAACAAAATTTAAAAGGGAGCTAAGCGTGGTAGCTCACGCCTTTAATACCAGCAGAGACAGGAGGATCTCTGACTTCAAGGACAGCCAGCACCACAGAGAAAGACCCTGTCTCAGAAAAAAAAAAAAGTAAAGCAGGGAAAGGGGGCCTAGAGAGCTGATTCGGCAGTTAAGAATACTGGCTGCTCTTCCGGAGGACACAAGTTCAGTTCCCATCACCTCACACAGCCGTTCACAACTGCCTATAACTTCAGCTTCAAGGGATCTGATGTTCTCTTCTGGCCTCTGTGGACACCTGCACACACACACAAGTGAAAAGTCAACAGATGAGTAGCAGCAAGTGTTCCATCCTGTTGAAGGAAGGGACAGAAAGTACATTTCCAAAAGAGAACTGCCCACGGAGACTTTTTTTTTTTTTTTTTTGGTTTTTCAAGACAGGGTTTCTCTGTGGTTTTGGAGCCTGTCCTGGAACTAGCTCTTGTAGACCAGGCTGGTCTCGAACTCACAGAGATCCGCCTGCCTCTGCCTCCCAAGTGCTGGGATTAAAGGCGTGCGCCACCATCGCCCGGCCCCACGGAGACTTTTAATGGCCAGTCCTCAGATATCATTTCTTTCTAAGACAGAGTCTCAATGGTAGTAGCTCTTACTGGTCCGGACCTTGCAATGTAAACCAGACTGGCCTCAAATTCATAGAGCTACTCCTACATCTGCTTCCCAAATGCTGGGATTAAAGGTGTCTTTTGTGGCCACATCTGGCCAGATAACATTTCTTAAATGAAAATGGGTTTTGTTTACTTCAGTTTGTAAAGGTAGGATGCTCTTGTAACGTGCCATTTTCAAAATATGCAGCCCCATGGTCTGTTGATTAAATTGTTTCTTATTCACTGACTATAATCCAGGTGGAAATTTTAGGGTTGAACCACATCATGATATAGCCACATATTAAAACACAGGAGTGTAGCAAAATGCTCCTAAGGAACAGCATGGTTTGCATCTCCTCCAGGCACAGAGCACCTCATCTGCATAACCTGGACTCTTGCTTGGTTTAGAGCTTGAGCAAAACATGAGACACATCAGGCCCATATTTCTTCATCTAATGAGGTAGCATTTGCTAGCAGAAACAAAGACAATACTCTTTATCCATCTTGTTTGAGTCTTTGGATGGTGACCATACAAGACAATTCATTATACTTTAACTTTGGTCATCCTTAGAGGAGAACAAGATCATCGTCCTTCTAGCGAGCTGCCAGATGGAATGGACTTACTTCTAAGAGATGACTGGCCTCCCAATAGGATAAAGAAGTGGCATCGCTGCTGCCGCTTATGAAGGGAACAGCTTGTAAATCTAGGCCTGGGATTCTCAGGAGCTCATCTTCCTTCTCACACAGTGTTTTCAATTAGCACTCTTGTAGGCTTAAAAAGAGAGAGCTGGGAGACTCAGCAGGACGATTGCGAAAGAAATCAGTAATTGATAACATGGAGTCTCCTCACCTAAGGAGAGGGCAATGAATTCGAGTATGAAGCCAAAAGTTGCTTTTCGCTTTGAGCATATGCCAGTACGTCTTTCCTAAAGCTGTCTACCATAAGGCTATAAGCTGTAGTGCTCTTCTCAGAAGGGTCTTTCAAAAACCTAGGCCATTACCAGTCTCCTTGATTTTAACCGAAAGTATTTTGTCCTTGAAAAAAAAAAGCCTGCAAATGTGAGCTTTCTGTTATACAGAGTCTTATAATTTCCCATGCACACATAACCAAGCCGTCAAAAGAAACAATTAGAAAGACTGTGATTAATACTAGTGTGGTCTCATTATACAAATATGTATAGACAGACAGCTAGCCTCATATCCCCAGCACTCATGGTATAATTAATTACTCTGGCATGAATTTGGCAAAGGCTTCATTCCCTGTCAGGAGCCAGTGGATAAAGTGAAGCTAGTAGCCAGTTTACAAGTTTTAGAGAACATATCAGAGCTGGGAAAGACCTTTAGAAATCCAACATGGGGTGTGGGTGTGTGTAATGTATAGTGCACTCTTTCAAGTGTACACGTGTGAAAAGCGATCAGTGTCTGGAATCATCCTCTGTCACCCTCAGTGAATCTAGAGCTCACCCATTTGGCTAGATTAGCAGGCCCATGAGTTCTGGCAGTCTACTTGCCTCTGGCTCATCAGCACTGAGATTGTAGATGTGAACCACCACGCCCAGCTTCTTTTTGTGTGTTTCTGGGAATCCGAATTCCAGTCCTCATGCCTGGGTACGCTGGGCTATTTCCCCAGCTCACCCAGCGTTTTGTTATGCAGACACTGAATCCCAAAGAGGTGAGATGTAGTGTCTGAAGATACTTGAGTAAGTGATGCCAGTCTAAACTGTTATCCAGAGGCTTCTGAAGCATAGCTCTTAGGTGACAGGTGGAAGTAGAGCTAAGGTACTCCAAACTTAGAACAAAGCATTAATGCAAATACAGTGATTTGATGCTAGTGACTTTTGGCTAGCCATTTAAAATTTATTTTTATAGATATACAATGGAAGAATTACCCTAGCTGTCACCTCTCTGTCACTAAAAACAAAAATGGAACCAGGAGGCTATTTCTGTTGAGAGTTGGTCACTTTTATGACTGTTAGAATCCATGTATTGCCCAGTTTTATTGAACCACATAACTCAACTGTTTGAAGATTGAAGATGTTCTTTTTTTATGTATTGTATTTTCATTACATTTGTGTGTGTGTGTGTGTGTGTATCTGTCTGTCTGTCTGTGTCTATGCATGTGAACATGTACATGCCATGCTGTGGGTATGGAGATCAGAAAACAACTTATGGGAGCTGGTTCTCTTCTTCCACTATGTGGGTCCCAGTGATTGAACTCGGGTACTGGGCTTGGCAGCCTTACCCACTGAGCCATCTTGCCGGCCCAATGACTGTGTTTTAAATTAGTAAAAAAGTGTGCTGATAGAACACATGGACATATTTCCTGTACAGGCAGATAGCCTTAGCTTTATGCTTAAAGAAAACTGCTTTTAATTGGCCTTACTTTCTCTGTACTGAAGTAGGTCGCTAATTTCCCTCACAGATTTGTCTGATTGTTGCATTTTGATGACAGCCTCTGACTCTCTTGGATCCAGGACTAGAGCAGGGCCATATTTCTCATTGAAATGTTGTCTGAAACATCTCACTGATGCCTGTGTGCAGCCTTGCAAGATCTTTATTTCATATTTTTCCCTGTTGTAATCCTCTCAAAAGTCAAACAAAGCATTTTTAAATCTGTAATCCTAACTCCGTCAGATCAGCAGTTACCTTTTTGGTGTTTTTTCCTTTTCTGCAGATCTTAGTGCTCCAAGATGTAATGATTCCACTTGTGCAAAATGAGAAGCCATCCGTGAACATTTGAACTGAGTGGGGGCAGAGGACTACAGACCCCTCCCTATGGAAGAATTGTTAGTAAGTGAACTGCCTTCACCCCAGGAAGCTGTATAAGGGAGCAGCAAAAATGGATGTGTGAACTGTAGAAGGCCCTGTGTGAAGCTTTGAAAGTGTACAGCCCCTCACCGACTTCCAAGACTTCTTAGATTCCTCTTATTTCCATTTCTGCTGAAGTGGATCTGCATACATTCCTCTGACAATGGTGACCCTGAGACTGACGTCTTCCTTCCCTCTGCAGCAGAAAGGAAGATTTGTTGTTACAATTCCACTCCAGTTTTCTTACCTAGATGTCAACATTTCTAAATGCCTCTGGGGCTTCCCTTTCACTCCCACCAAGTTAGACTTCTCCATTTTCTGACCTCTGGGTTTTGTTGCTCAGCGGGGCTCTGAAGGAGAATTCTCATTGGTTGGGCCCAATCTTCTCCCATCACTGCCCCGCTGTGACTCCAAAGACGGGAGCTTCTTGTTGAGGGTACCCTGTGGAGTGAGGCTGTGTTTCACATCCCACATGGTGCTCAGTGGGTGCCAGCCCTCAGCAGGCTCTGTGATTGCTGCCCTGAAGGACAATGCTCTCTCCTTCCTTCCTGGTCCTGCCTGCTGTTCTCTGAGCTTTGCTCGTGCTCTGACGTGGAGCCCTGGCCACAGCAAGGCTCTTCAGTCCCCATCTGTTGGCAGTGTCTTTTGGAGCACTTTTGCTGAGGAAAAAAAGGTCATTGGTAAAGAGGGAGGAAGGGAAAGTACATTTGGTGTTGGAAAGCAGCCCAACGTCTAAGTGGAAAGTGCTCTGCCTTCAGTGTACAGATCTGTGCATTAAGGTGATGGGGACTTCTGTGAAAGTAGTCTCTTGAGCTGACAAAAGGGCACAGTGGAATCCTCTTGTTTTGTCTTCCTTCTCCAGCCACTAACTGCCGAATCCATGGAATCTGGAAAAGACAGGCTTCCTTCCTTCGCTCTCCTTATTAAGAGATTTTTGTTTAACTGTAAAACAAACAGGTTCTTTTTCTCTCCTCAGGGTTGGTTTTGGATTTGGGGTTTTGGGGGTTTGGTTTGCGTTGGGTTGAGTTTTTCTTTTATGCTCTAGAGCACAAGGCTAAAAGTGGCAGCTGAGATCTTTGGAACCAAAGCAGAGCATGCTGAGCCCAATATCTAAGCACTAGGCCACCAAAGGCAGGGGGATGAAATGTGGTCCCTCACAATACGCCCATAAGCCAGGGCACAGTCCAGAGCCTCCATCCTGTGACTGCACCATCCTGTCTTCTCAGCACTGTGTTCTCTTCTGTGTGCTTTATTAGTCCAAAGGGAACAGCAATCGTAACAATAGAGAGTAATGTGAACACATCAAACTTCGTGCACTGAAGCCCACACATAGCAGTCCTTTAGAAAAAGACTCCATCGTTACTGCTGCACAGCCCACCAGCTCTGCTGCCTGGGTACTGTCCTGGTTCCCTGCCCTCATCTCCTGTTTTTGCCATTTAGATTGCTTGCCTGCTGAACCCATGTAGAACTCACTGTCTGTAGCAGAAGGACACCCAAGCTGGTTCTGGAAGTTTGTGTCTGCCAGATGCTTCCTGTCCTTTCTTCCTTCCTCCTCATATTGCTGTTTCTCTTTGTGTGCAGTTCTGTACCGCTCCCATAGCACTGATTTTGTGGCCAGATAAGGCTATGACTTGGTCCAAAGATGATCATCCCCCTCTTTCTAGATGTGATACCTCATCTTGTCTAGTCACGTTTGCATAACCAGAATTCAAGAGGATAGCGAAAGAATCTACTAGAATCCTACAGTATGTCAAAGCAGTAGCTTGCTTTCAAATACTGTGTCTCCCAGTAGTTTGCCCTCTGCCTGGAGGGTGGCTGGGATTCAGTCAGGTTGTGTAGAGCTGTCTGTGCCACCTCCTCTCACCCCATGCTCATCACAGAGAGGTGAGAAGGGTGCAGGCTGGCACAAGGATTTATTTTCCAATAGGTTCGTAGGTTGATTCTGCACCTACATGTTCTCCTCTAGAAGTAAGCGATTACCTATTCAGTGTTACACATTTCCTTCTTGCTTTTTATTAAAACACAGGATCAGCTGGGGAAGGGATGAGGGGTTTTATTTCTGACATGTTTTAGGAAAAAAAAAATGTTGTGTACATGTGTTTGGAACTGTTGAATTGCCAGGTTTCTGTGCAAGTGTTTTGTAATTAAACTTTTAGATTTTCTTTAAGAAATTGATATGCTTGCTTGACATTTGTCTCATTAAAACTTTCTTATGTTGAATCCATGTGACCAGTTTTGCTTAGATCATAACAAAAAAGTTCTACTTCTGCTTTTTCCTCTGAAAGACGTGGTCGCCTCTCCATTGATCAAGTCTGCAAGGGTTTTGGAGTAGTCACACGTTCATCTTACTAATTGCTCATTCAAAACGTCGTCACCTGTTTGACAGTGCTGCTCTTTCGGTGTGCATCGGAACAATACAGTGAGTTCTGATTAATTTTATATGGCAGTAGTATTTTGGAGCCAACTTGAAGGATGTTTTTTTTTTTGTTTTTTTTTGTTTTTTTTTTATTTATTTATTATGTATACAATATTCTGTCTGTGTGTATGTCTGCAGGCCAGAAGAGGGCACCAGACCTCATTACAGATGGTTGTGAGCCACCATGTGGTTGCTGGGAATTGAACTCAGGACCTTTGGAAGAGCAGGCAATGCTCTTAACCTCTGAGCCATCTCTCCAGCCCTTGAAGGATGTTTTTAAGTCAGTGACTCTGAAGTCCCTTGTTAGTTGATCTTTTGACTGAAGAAATGTTGTGCCTAAATTCCTGCTTTTTAAAAATAACCACACTTACCAATCAAAATATTTTTAAAGGGGATTGTGAATTTCTACCATGCTTTTGAAATCTTCAGGATGAGGCAGCCTGGTGTGTGGCACTGGGCAATTCTTGCATTGTGTCACTTCAGACTTCCTCTTGTGACATCACAAGTGCCTAGGCTTTCTTACAGTGTTGTTAGAAGGCGAGAATTAGGTAAGAGAAATCACCACTATACTTTGAAAAGTGCCAGGAATCATCACAGCATCTGAGTTAGGACTGGGTTTGATTAGATTTAACAGAACCAAGCCAACAGTGGCTTAAGTCAGAAGTGTGTCTCTCTCGTAAAAACAGTATGCCAAAAGAAGCCAGGCCAAGACTGACACAGAGGTTCCTGTCTGTGCTACAACATAGTGTATCTCTCAAGGTCACCTTGTATTCCAACTTAGCTACTTGGCCAGCAGCCATCCCTTTGAAATTCCTGGCAGCGTGAAGTGAAGAGAGAAGCAAGACAAACCAGCAAGCCTGATTTCCCCGTCTCCCTGGAAATCACACTCAACACCTCCAACCACATCACTATAGCTGGCTATTAAAGACCTCTAGAAACATCATCACTATGTGGATATTACTGCCCCATAACAGGAGTTTTAGTAAGGAAGAGGAAGAAGGAAACATAGAGTAGGCAGCAGAAATCCATATGTTAATGATGACACATCCTCTTCCCTTTCTTCTTCACCCTTAGAAAATAACCACACACTATTAGAACTCAAACAGCTGGGAAACAGGCCGATCTCACTGTGAATTGGCATTTCCTGTTCACACCTTAGCTTCTCTCCCAGCTTCAGCAGCTGGTGGCCAGGCCTGGAAAAAGTCAACAGAAACAGGTGGTAATGCTTGCCCAGGATGAACACTTCTCTAACCGCTCTGCACCAGGATGGTCGCGCCCTGAGGGTGGGGATGATGAAATAGTGCTTGGTGGAAAAGCTATAACTACTTCCTGCTCTCTGAAATAATTTCCTACCTCCCGACCAGGAGTCCAAGTTAGGGCCTTTCTCTCTGAGTTATTTGTTTTCCTCTTTCACAAAACTTGGCTCGGACATAAACTTTAAACGGCCTCCCATGCCAGCTCATGAAAGGGATGGAGAGTCAGAAGGATCAGATGAACATGAACTAGAAATGTCTTCTGGGAATGTGTCTGTGGAGAGACTCCAGCCAGAAACAGGAATGGAAGTTCTGAAGAGGAGCCTGAGGACATAGGAATGGCATTGGGAAATTAAGAGCAGGCAATGCAAATTTCTGGAGAGATTATCTGTACTGCTGGATTGGTGGGAAGCTGCGAAACTGATGAGCGTTCTGCATGTGACCCGAACACTACATCCAACTCACAAGCGCATCTTTCCACTGCACTTGAGGTTATTGTATAGTGCTACAACAGTATTCATAAGGTGTGTTTCTGGGTTAAGATGGCTCAGTGGGTAAAAGCGCTCACTGGCTACTCTTCCAGAAGGATTAGATTCCCAGCACCTACACAGTGGCTTACATCTGTCTGTAGCTCCAGTTCCAGGTGACCTGACATCTGGCTTCCTCAGCACAACGCATTCACGCAGATATACATGCAGGCAAAACACATGTTCACGTATGAAAATTACATAGTACATATATGTCTGATGAAGACCAATAGAAAGGACAAACGCACTTAAATAGCGCTGACATAGGGCAGCTCTAATTAAAAATTTCAAATGAAGTAACTTTGTGAGAGACAGTGTGTGTGTGTGTGTGTGTGTAGACCATAGATCAAGGGCAGTTCTTCCTATACTACTCTACCTTTTTTTTTATTGCATTCAATAGAAAACCAAGTCAACAATGACTTAAATACGAAGTGTGTCTCATTAAAAAGAGAGAGAGATGCCAAAAGAAGCAGGGTATAGAAGCCCTGTCTAAATCACAACTTACTGTCTCTCTCAAGGTCATGCAGGGTTCCAACATAGCAACTTGGCCAACATGCTCTGTATCTACCTGTCTTTCCCCTCTCCCCAAAGCTAAGGTTGCAGACATACCCATTACACCAGGATCTTTACATGATGCTAGGACTCTGAGCTCAGGTCTTTATGCAGGTATTTTACCAACTGAAACATCTCCCCAGCCCTGAGATAACTTTTTCCCTTTAAATTTCTTGACAATGACCAGCCTGGTCTACAGAGCTAGTTCCAGGACAGGCTCCAAAGCCACAGAGAAACCCTGTCTCGAAAAACCAAAAAAAAAAAAAAAAAAAAAAAAAAATTTCTTGACAATGTAGAGCGATCCATGGTTAAAAGAACTAGCTGCCCTTCTTGAAGACCCCAGTTCAGTTTGCAGCACCCACATGGTGGCTTATAGCACCTATAAGTCCAGCCCCAGGGGATCTGACACCTTCTGGTCTTGAGCAACAGCCATGCAGCTGATGCAGAGACATACATGTAGAGAAAACCATCTGTATACATGAAATTGATTTTTCTTTAACTTCTTTGACAATTTTATATAAATCTAGAATACAATTTGGTCATTTTCACCCCGGATCTCCTCTCTCGTCCCCTCCCACTCCTCCTAAACCTCTCCTTCCCAACATGTTCCCCTCTCAGGCATGCTAGACAAACCTTTACTGTTGTAGTTGGAGCGGCGGGCTGCGTCCCCGGCACCCTGCCGCCCCCACGGCTAGCTTTACCCGAAATAATTACACAGAAACTGTATTCTTTTAAACACCGCTTGGCCCATTTCTATCTAGCCTCTTCTAGGCTAGCTCTTGCACCTGGACTAGCCCATTTCTGCTGTTGCCCATGAGCTGGCTTACCAGGAATGATCTTAACCTGCATCTGCCTGGAGTGGGAGAATCATGGCGACTCCTTGACTCAGTTTCTTTCTCCCAGCCTTCTGTTCTGTTTACTCCGCCTACCTATGTTTTAACCTATGAGGGCCAGCCAAGCAGTTTCTTTATTACTTAACCAATGAAATCAACAGATTGATATATGACACTCCCACATCACTTTACTGCTGAGCTACGCTCCCAGCCTCATGTAGTCTGTTTATTTTGTTCGCTTGTTTCTGGAATGATCTACAAGTTCCTGTGTCACCCTTGCACAGGGTCCCTGCTCACACTGTACTGTTCCCGGTTAGTGTATGTGCTGCTGACCTGTCGGTTAAACTGGTTATCCATGGACAACATTTAGAGTAGTGCCCGTCATAAAGTACGGGGCACTCAGGCAAGAGAAACAACAGCTAGACACACTGGGTAAGCCAACTAAGTAGTCTGTTCTACTTTTCATGAGTTTCGTCATTTAATTCCTACCAGAACTTTATATTATATTCATTTTATAGTTAAGTAAATGAAGATGGGGAATGGGATGATAGGTAATTTGCATAGTTATGCAACTAGAAACAAGAAGGTTTTTGTTGTTTTGGTTTTTTTGTTTTGAGACAGGATCTCACTAGATAGCTTTCAATTACAGAGATCTGCTGATTCCTACCTCCTAAGTGCTGGGATTAGAGGCCTGTGGCATCACACCAGCCCCAAATGTGGTCTTGTGTTTTGTTTTGTGGCAAGTTTTTTTTCTGTGTAGCCCTGGATGTTCTGGAACTCGCTCTGTAGACCAGGCTGGCCTCATACTTAGATATTCACCTGCCTCTGCCTCCAGAGTGCTGGGATTAAAGGTGTGCACCACCAACACCGAACATTCTAACTGTAAGGTTTTTTTCAATGACTTAAAAAGTTTTTTATACATATTTAATCTAACTCCACATTCTACCATAACCACACTGTTATTGAGATTTTTTTAAATGTTTTTGTTTTGGGGTCAGTTTGTCTTGAGTTAGAGTTTCATATAGCCCAGGCTTACCTAGAATTCACTAGGTAGCAAGAATGGTCTTGAGCTGCTGAGAGCTAGGATTATAGATGTGTTCCACCATGCTGGGCTGTTCCAGAGATACTTAATGAGACCAGTATGAATTCAGGGCAACATCAGAGCCTGGTGGGTCTGAGAACTGGACACGATATTGAATGTTTATGTCACCAGCTGTTCCAGGTCCCAGACCCCTGGTGTTTATCTGCCACTGGGAGGAGAGATCTGTAAAGTACTCACGCGCTCACCCCCACCCCCAGCCTTTGGCCAACCATGAGAAGTGATAGGAACTATGGGAGAGGAAAAGTCTTTCTCAAAAACTATCTTCTAGAGAAAAACTGATTTAAAGGAGCCAGTAAGACTGTGGGAATCCAAAGGTCACAATCCCGAGGCGGGAAAGGAAGAAGGAAAAAGACTGATGAGGCTGGAACAGCCATGCGAGGCCAAAGGCCTGGAGTCTGCAGTCACGCAGAGCCTGTGAGGAACGGCGAAGAGCTTACTCCATGTGAGTATCGTCTACTGAGATTTCAACACTAGCGAGGGGCAGATAACTGCTTAAGGATTCTTCTCAGCTGTGAGGAGAATTTCAAGGAAGCCAGG